TCAATAGTAGCTGGTGCTGGGATATGAGCAACTACCACTAACGTTTCATAATATGACAATCTAAGAGGTGAAATAGCTTTTGTATTTTAAAATTCATTAAGAACAGCTGCAACTTAGCACTGATGGATACATCATTACTTTCCTAAATCAATATCTCCTTTGTTGAGTTATATAAAGCTGTTTCATTGCCACACAGACAGGAGATGCTAATCTGAAAAAGTAAAATGTAAAATAAAAGAGATTTAAAATCTATTATAGCACATTATGTGTCAGCATCAGCCGTTCCTAGTATCAAGAAGTAATGAAACAACTAGAAATATCATATACACAAGTAAAAGAGTAAAATAAAAAAGGAATTAGTATTTCAAAGTGACAGTTCTGAGATACTGAAAAAGCTTATCTCAGAACTGCATGTTTCTGGGCGGGAGAAGGATTTCTAGGACATGTTTTTTCCCTAAGTGAATTTTCCAAGAGTCCCAAGTGTTATTTGCCTTCTAGTTCTGTAGTGTCAATATGGATTTCTCATACCATTTTCTGCATAGCCTGCCTCTACAGTGAAAATATCTTGTGTTTAGAAAACATATTAACACATTTTAAGAACATATTTATTGCATTTAAACTAAGAGTACAAGTGTACATGGAGAAACAGCTATTTTCTTAAAATGCTGTGTGGTCAGACTTAGGGTTAGCCAACAAGCTTATTTTAAGCATATATTTAAAAATCTTTTCTAGATGCCTAGACTTGATCCCGGGGACTAAACGAGCCCAACGGATTTTCTTTGCTTCTTGGCTTTTGGGGGATATTCCAGTTTAGTTCCTAGGGAAGCTTCCCAATGAAACACCTGCTGGGAGGGCTTAGGTGGCTGTAAGTGAAATAACCACTTACGGAGGCTACAGGAGAAGTAGCCTCTGAAGGAGAGGTTAGGACGAGGAGAGACTTCTCCTTAGTCTGAAGGAGAATGCGGCTGTGGAGAGCTTTAGGACAACTGTCAGATTGTCAAAGAGCGTGGCTCTAGCAGGCTCTGGGCTTGCCAGGAGCGAGACCTGGGGCCAGGGGGAAGAGTAACTTAGAAATGAGGAAAGGCCTGAAACTACTTGATAACGTGGTTGCAGGCATTACCTTTGTTGGTGTTTGTCTGACTGGCTCACGGAGAAGTTTCTTTGGTTTTGCTTTTTAACCTGGTATGCTAATTCTGTGGCATATGAACTGATCTCCAGGTGCACAAAAGGAAGGATAATCCAGCCTAGGTTTGCAACCTTAGCGGGGCAGGTGCATTATTAGTGTTCTGTGGGTATTACATCTTCTTTACTGACAGCTGTAATAAAAGGTATTCTCCAAGCGTGGACAAGACCTGTATGAGGATCAGCCTCAAACCTTGAGTCCTACAGGAGAATGCTCTCTATGCCCGTGTGGAGGTCTCAGCAGGATAAAACTGCGATTAGCGACATGGGGAGTGGAGTTGATATAAGTTCAATGTTATTATGCCAACTTCCATCAGACAACCTTGTGCAACGTGGGTAGTTATGGAATGCAGTTTGATTACCTCGTCTAACTTGAGAGCTCAAACAATAGGATTTAAACTTCTGGAATACAACTGACTAGGCTGTATCTTATCTTCAGGAATGTAGACAGATAGATAAGTTAACATATATATGTGATTAACTTACATATGTATATACACGCATACACATATACACATAGGTTAGACAGGTATATACCTTATGCAGGTGTCTTCCCAATTATGGGTGCCTGCAGCACTCTGAACACCTCACTTGCTACTCTCTCAATTCCCCCTGGTTGCTGAGGTGTTTCCAATTGATGTATGTAATATGGATACTCCATATATATTTTTCCCCTCCAACCTCACTGCAAGTTCTTCATGTCCTTTATACTTACTATTAGTATACTGGGCTCCATATTCATCTCCAAGTCTGTCAACATAGTTCACCTCCTGTAATCAGGAAATGGTGATTAAATGAACATCCAAGTACAGAAGCTGTCAACCTGGTGTTCATCTTTTTTAAAGTTAGAAAACCCAAATGTTCAATTACCTTTTGCACTCGTATGGCTCTGAAAAGCTCTTCAAAAAAAAAAAAAAAAGTGTCATTTTTTCTATGTTCTTAAGACAGAATCAAGTTAAGAGGTCAATGTCAACCGTGTCAATTTTAGCATTTATGGGAATAATAAAAGAAAAAAAAAAGATCCCTGTAGAAAAGGTATATGCCACAAGCCCTGCAGTTCTGCAGTTCTCTGCCTTAGAGAACTTAGAGAACTGTCTTAGGTGTTAGAGCTCCTGAAAGGAGCTTGTCTAAGGCATTTAGGTTTCAACCACAACACGGTTTCAGCATCTGGTCCATCATTGGAAGATCTTTGAGACTTGTTTCAGGATTGGGCTGCAGATAGGATATGGCAAGGGAGAAAAAGTTACTTATATCCTCTTTATGTGCATGGGAAAAAAATCCTCTAGAACATATATGCCATCAGCCTAAGAGAAACATAATCTACTCTCAAACTGCAGAGCTAGTACAGCTCCTTCAGTGTATGCAACAGCTCTGACCTCCGTGTAATTACTCCAGGCTTACACCAGTATAACAGTGCTGGGTTCCTTTTCAATTATTTTCTGGGAGTGGCAGGCTCTCTTCCCGGAGCGCTTATTTGTTTCGAATTGGCCTAATTTGCTCAACAATTTGCGCATCCCTTCTTCGGGATCCCGCTTTTGCCCGGAGACGGCGAGGGATGGTGCTGCCCCGTCCCGTCCGTGGCCGTCGGTCGGTCTCCGCCCCGGGGCGGGGGGATAAGGAGGGGGGATGCGGGGGTCGGTGCCGATGCTGGAACCGGGCAGCACCGAGCTCCCCCCCCCTCGGTAAGCAGCAGAGCAGCAATTGCCTACGGATGAGTAAGCAGCAAATGTGGTAACTCGGGCCAGCAGCGCTGCAATTAAGGCTATAATTTCAGGTGTAGCCAGTGGTCGTAATGAATATTTATTTCAAGGTACCGAATAAAAGTAAATCGCCCTGCTGGGCGGTATAGGGAGGTTCGTGGGGTAGTTCGGTTTCAGTGTTGGTCGTCTCATCCCCCTCCTGTCACGTCCCGGGTGGGACAGGAGTCTTATCCCCCTCCACTCCCCTCGCCGGTGCGCGGCCGCGGGGCTTGTGCGCAGCCCGGGGAAGGAAGGGTAAGGAGTGTGCAGCCCCGGGCACGGCTTCCCCGGGATAAGAGCCCGGCGGCGGCGGGGAGGGGGGGGAGCGGAGCGGAGCCGGCGGAGGGAAGGGCCGAGGTCCCCGCTCCCCTCGGGGGCTCCCCTCAGCGAAAGCCCCCGCACAGCAGGGTCCGGTAGCTCCGTATCCCCCCCCTCCTCCTCTTCTTTGGCGTGTGTTGCGGGAGTCCCCTCAGTTTTTTTGCTCCGTGCCTGAAGGGGACAGCTGAGGAAGGAGCCGAGCTCCCTGTGTGTCGGGAGGGGGGGGAGAGGGATGCGGGGGGGCGATGGCCCTCCGGCTGCCCTAAAATCCGCAGCCCTAGCGAGCTAGAGGGCGGC